CCTGTTCTAATAATAATAAAACATGATACTAAGAACATAATAATAAAACATGATACTAAGAACATAATAATAAAACATGATACTAAAAACATAATAATAATAAAAAATGATACTAAAAACATAATAATAATAAAAAATATAATAACAAACCAGTAAAAATAATGATAAAAATGTAAGAATAGGAGATATCAGCCTAAAAAGCATTAATATCAATGAAGAAAGATTTGAACAGAATTACATTATTAAAGGATTACGTTATTGAAGATGTATTGATACAAATACAGTGTATCTATCATGAAATTTCTGCGTATGCATGTTCAATAATTAGAAGTTAGTTGAGAAAATTGTTAGCAATAACGTACGTACGTACGTAGGTGGTGATGTGTACCGGTTTCATGTGTGAGAATGAAGTCATAAGCAGGTGCAAACGCATCTCTAACTGGTAGAAATGTATATAAATGCATATTCACTGACACAGTTAATGGAAACCCACGAACGCAAATACGTTTAGCCTAAACGATTATTGATAATTGAAATTTATTTACGTGGTTATATATAATTAATTCACGCACTATCGAAACTAGCGTATGTATGCTGATGATAACATATAATTTATTTATGACGAGCTTGATCTAAAAATTCAATCCATATATTTATGGACAATTGGGAGATCATATATATTAATTCTAAAGTAAATTGGATTTTTCTTATGTTGGTCATGATGCAATGCCGGCCATGCTGTGTGTATAAGGTAATATGTTTATTGCATATGTTTAATTAATTTGACCGGTTCTTTAGAGCTAGAAATAATTGTCGGGGGAAATCCGACAATAATTATCCGGGTATTTATGTCCGCACCTATTTTTAACCTTTAACTACGCTTCGGATGTCTAACAGTATCGTTTTCCTAGTTATTATACGTACAACAACGGTAAAATAATAAACTAAATGCGGTTAAATCTTTATTAGTTTTGTACATTAATCAGAATGTGTTTGGTTTTTCATATTACATTTTACGTTTACTATTGATGATGCAAAAATGACAGGTTGTCAATGTTGATATCTAATATGATTTCTGCGCAAACCAAATTTAGTAACTACAGGTGAAACACTATAACTGTATAACTGTATAACAGAGATCGATCAGATGTGCCTCATTCCAGACCGTTTTGAATAGGTTACGTATTATTGGTTAGTTGTCATGTGCATTAATTTGACATAACGATAAATAACGATAAAGCAAGGTAAATATTTTGAATACGCAATCGCATGAATAATTGAATTCAATGCAAGAATTTAATGAAATTACTCATTCGCAAGCCAAATAGATTGCTAACTTACCAAGGATGTCGACGAAGAAGTTTAATTTTATAATTCATTGACGCACGATTAAGCCCAATCATTTCTACCATTTCAGGTTTAAACCTGTCAGAATGAAATCTAAATACGTAAATTCAAATATAACAGATAATCTATTCACGCACGTAAAGCCCAATCATCTTGTTCATTTCTATTTTTAAAAAAAAAGACTGCATCTTTGATTTAGTCGAAAGCATACACGTACATTCAAATTATTTTGAGAAACAATCACAATTACTTTAATGATTATGGCGACATACCTTAAATGTAACTCAATCGCATAAACAGCAAGACTAAAAGAAAAGATTCTTAAAACGCCTGCGTTATTTTCAAAATGAGTATCGTGTTTTATTATTATGTTCTTAGTATCATGTTTTATTATTATGTTCTTAGTATCATGTTTTATTATTATTAGAACAGG